GTGATGACTGATGTAAATTCCTCACTAATTACTCCCTAGTCTTTTTGGGATAAATTTGGGAATGAATACTTTCACGGTCAGAGCAAAATCCGGGACCAAACCGATGTGTTGTTGTGCTTGTAAAAGCCAGTGAAGATGTGAATTGTAACGCCAGTAATGAAAAAAAAACTGGGAGAAACCGTCGACAAGCACGAAAAATACCTTCTCCATCAGTGGCGGAGCGAAGTAGCATTGATTTATGGGTGTGGCAATGGTGTTTGGCGGGGCCAATGCTGCATCCTTAGATCTTAACGCCTTGTCGTTGTCAAATAATCCCGACATTTGCGTACATGCTCCCGCTTGCGTACCGCGCATTCTTTCGGGGAAAGGATTTCGACAGATTCCGCACCTTTCTTTAAAGTCTCATTCAAACGATTGTAAGGCTTGTCTGAAAACTATAGATGATCAGCGACGTCCACACGCTCTTTCGCACTATTCGAACGGGGAAGGGGGTTTACGGACTACTTGAACTTTCTTCTTCCATGGTCCTGCCACGAATGGCGGAGAGCACAGACAGTTAGAGAACGGCGCCTGGCTCGGCTCCAAATCCCAAGGAAGGAGGTGAGAGCCTCTAGGACTAAGCCTTGTAGGAGGGAGGGACTTCGAGGTGGGTGAGCCAACTACAGTGTGGCAAAAGTTTGAATGTGTGTGATCACAATGGCCATGATAAGGTGAGAGAGCGCAGACGAGAGATGGATCTGAGGCGGCTTAAAGGACCGGGTTCAAGTAGTCCGTCTACCGAGGAAGGGGTCCTATTTGGGGTTGAGTATGGTTATGCATGTTTGGGAAAGTTGGAACGAGTGGATCGTATCTATAGAGGTTGAATGGGTCATGGTTGCGAAAAGGGTTTTTTTTTAATTTGGCGCAACTTCAGAAAGTAGTGACGAAGAGGGAAATTGGAGAATTTGCCGCTTTATCAGAAGTTACCTCTTCCACCTCCGCCCGGCGGACGAGCCATCCCCTTCCCCCGAAGGTCGTTTGTGTTTTTTTGTAGCACGTGAATCACCTTAATAAAATTGACGTGCTTCGACTGCCTTGAAGTTTAACGTCTCGACATATCAATAACTGTCCGCTGAGAAGTGTCATGTGTGCCATACGATCACATGAACAGTGTCATCAAGCGCCATGCTCTTTGGTCTTAGGACAGACAGTACATTGGTGAAAAATGAAGAAGAACTTTTCTGATTTTTCAAGGTACTGCCCTATTGCAAAGGTCGCGCTCTCCGTGGTTATGGCCTGTATTAGTAAAGCCCCTTGTCGAGGAGCATAAGTCGATTTCCATAGGGAATGAATTCTAATTGAAAAACGTATTATTATCTTCATCGAAAAGGAAGGCACGAAGAGTGTGGAGAATGTTGGTGCCACATTAAATTCAGTTAACAGCAAGAAATACGTGATAAAGGTACCGTGTTTGGCCAAAAATGTTTTGTCTCAGGGAGCTCCGGATACCTTTGATACGGATGAGGAATGTCTGCGTCCTACCGTTTCTACGTTTCCAGGTTTTTCCCTCTCCAAACCCGAGGTTTCTTCTTGGTAGGCTCATTTACCGATTTAAGAAGGCCCGCAGAAAGCAGGTGTTTGGGAGGTCTTGTTTCCTTCCTCAGCTAGAATTAACACGCTGCCCTCGCGGACCGTGGCTTTACATCTTCATTTTCAGTACGATAAGTCACATTTATCGCAACGAGGGAATACGCCGCTAAGCTTCGAAGGTAGTTCCTCAGGTTCCAACTCCAGCAATATTTTGTTGTTAGTTTCAATTGTTTTTCGACATAGTTGATAATTCACAGAAGGCGCTATCCTTAGGCTCCATGTCCCAAATTTTATGAATTTGATGTCAACGTTTTACAGAGGTGGATTCGAACCGAGATGCTTATGCGGGTTTCTGATCTATGAACATCATCACTACGAACTCGTCACCTCTTCTCACCCGTCCGTTGTAATTGTACGACGGTTGATATTTAATAAAAGATTTTCCTCTTCACCATCATGCACAGATGCAGACAAATGGACCAATATTGCGCCATAACCATCCCAGTTAGACTGGCGCGAATTCTGACCCTAAGAAAGCGGAGCGACGCGGCGGAGGGGACAGCAGGGGGGCGAAGAGCTTCTACATGATAATATTTATGTACTACTGGTAAATGTAATACAACACATGGATTATATAGAAAGATAATATACTATACAAAATGGATATAATGATGCAATAACGAGAAGTTGAGGCATCAACGACATCGTTCTTGAGCAGTAGCCCCCGGCCTAGTCCCCCACGCACACAACACCGGTGTCATCGCCGCCTTGTCCCTTTTTGTGCCGGAGTGCACGTCAATTCCCGCCGGCCGGCCGTACGTTCCATAGGGTTAGGGGCCATGCGTTCAATCCAACTAGCCATCTCCCGAGCTTCTCGGTTTGATAAACGGAAGTTCGAACTAATTGGGAGCTACGTGATCCTTCCTTAAATCGTTATGGATATCATGCGATGCTCAGGATCAGTCCGCGGGACTGGTTCATAGCTACACATATTGCTTCGGCTCAGATAGAAATTCAGCTTTGATTAGTAAGAACAAACATAACAAGAAAATAAGCTCACCGGAATCTCCTAAGCTGACTGGGCGGCTAACGCGTAATTTTGAGGAAAAGCTGACAATAACGATGAATACCCGATGCGAACATTCTGAAGATTCGTTTGCTATAAAAAGCAAATGAAATGGAAATCGATGAGGAGTACCTCGTTGGCCGATTCGGAAAGCTTTTTGAAAAGAATCGCCGGGTGATTTGCAACCTTTCTCATCATATGATGAGGACTAAAGGCTCTCCATTCACGTGGTCACAGATTGCAGTGAGAACTGCTTTTTGAATAGTAGAGGGAGCGCAAAACAGCACGTAATCGTCTGAAAAAAGGTGACTTGTGAGTAATCAATCTCTTTCCCCTCGATTCTCAGTTCCCTTCACTCTTCAGGTTTTAAATCGAACGAACTTTTGATAGGCAGGTGAGTATTATTAATTTCGCCAGTTCGCCTTAGTAGGCAATCAGAGATCATCCTGTTGAAGTCTCCATCCTGTAAAAATGCCAGTAAATATTGAAAAAAGGTACTTCATGGATTGAGTCATTATAATTATCATTATAACAAGCCTCTTTGTTGCACTGTGACTTGAACTCTGCGATCGTCCCAAAACAAGTGGGGCGTACAAAGTCGAGCAGCGAAAAGAATTCTTCAATATCGTTTTGAAGTGGAGTTCCAGTGAGAAGCAGACGGCGAGGAATGCACAGTGAATCGAGCTCAAATAAGTACATTGGAAACCGGCATTTTCAATTTAAGTCTACTGGAAGACATTCTACAGTGGCTCTTGCATAACATTTTGGAAGCGTTACACATTTCAAAGAGGGGAATAACCGTACTGTATTCCATGTCACAGTAGCCTTTCGGTGAAACTTAGATTCGTGTCACTTCCGCCGAGTTCTCCCACAAACATTAAAGGCAGCGATTACGATAAATTCAGGGAGGGGGAGCGTGCAACAGAACCATCCGGGAAGTGGCGCCGTCGCCTGCGGGTACTTGCGCGGCGCCGTAATGCGGCACTTTTTCGATGAGACAACTTAATACCATTGGCGATCTTCACTGGGCTTCCGCACACCCTTGGCCACATAACTGGTTATCACTATGGATTGGCCTCAGAGAGAGCGCAACCTCTGCAAATCCGACACCGATGGCCTTCCTGAGCGAGGGTCATTCTGCGGTCTGTAGTCTCCTGAGTAACAAAGACCGCTATTCTGAACCCATGGCTGCAACAAAGGGAATAAATCCAGAGGCAAATGTTACTTCCAGAAAAAAATTCCCCCCCCCGAAATCGGTATGTGGCTTAGCAAAGTTCTGAGTCGACCTGTGAAACAGAGATCGCTCTTTCCCATCTATCACTCTATTCTCCCATCCCCGAACTCGAGGTTTCGACTAGCGGTGAGACATATTCGTAATGAGTACTGACGTCCGTTTGCCCTCATCCCACGCCTACCACTACCACTAACACTGGTGTGCAAAACATAAGGACGCGCGACCCGATCGAAGTATGTCACCTTTCTGTAAGCTTTGTGAGATCGCGAGTTTAACGGAGTTCCTCGATAACTGACTAAACATTCTTTAGTGCACTTTTAACACACATATATAATATATCTATATTGTAGTTGGCTGTCCATACGAGATCAATATTAGAGCCATGCAACTCGTCGATGAAAAAAGCCCTCACAGTTCGTCCCAGTCACCTAGTAGCCCACCAAGTAGTAGAATTTGAGCGTGAACTAGCTAATGTGGCATGAGCACGAAATTTGGCATAAAAAAATACGCACCGAACCTTTTTGAGACAATTTAATACCATTGGCGATCTTCACTGGGCTCCCGCGCACCTTTGCCGTTCTGCATCTTGTACAACATTTGAATGGAGACTTAATGCCATGCCCACCGTTGTCGTGCCTCTCCCTCAAATCTCCCTACACTCTCATGACAGTTGCCGATTCTAAAGCCTCAGTTTTTTTTTTCGTCTCATAAACAGGCCTTGAATTGAATTGCCGCTCGAAAATAATCATTCTCGCGCTACACGCCCTGTCCCAGACGGTTTGTTTATTCCCGCTGGCGGGCAAAGTTTCTCGACGAAAAAAACTTTACGCGCAACGCCTGAGCTTTCCGTTGATATTCTTTAGGCGATGACCTTCGTCGCAAACCAATATGTCGAATCGCACTGCTGCCAGCTTCTCCGTATACCTTAGTTGCGAACAGATCAAAATTCATGACAAGAAACGAATTGGGGGTAAAAAAATATCTCATGTTAAGCCATACCTCAGAGCCATTTCATAGCTAATTATGAGGTAAGGATAAGTAGATACCGAGCAGGCATAGGTGGTAATATCTGAGGCACGCTTTACGGTGACAATCTACAAGACTTCAAAATGATGAAAGCAGAGCGTAACGGGAAAAATGCAAACACATTTTATAATGGAATCCAAACAATCAATGCTAAAATAATCGTCAGGGTCATTATCGACGAACACTACGGAGCTCTACCCATTTGAAAACCCTTTTCGCCGCGTTTCCAGTTGTTCACGAGAGAGATGAAACTCACCAAAAGACACTTTCTTGCCGCATTTCGCGTTGAACTCTGCAAAAAACTCACCATCCTGCCGTTATTCATGGCCAATTCAACAGAAGGATGCATTATAGATGTGGATTCAATGACAGATAAGCGAAGCGAGGGTGTCAACATCCTCTGGCCATTTCTTCATTTTTCCATTACGCGTGTCAGGTATTTTTACTTATTGAACTTCTGCTATAGTATTCTATAGACGGTATTATATGCTAGAGAACGATCAGTCAACCGTCTACTGTGCAGAGATCGACAAGGAATTGGCCAATTGAAGGGGTGGGATCGTAAGCCCAAAGACCAGTCACAAAAATCGACCGCTTCTAAAGGACCAGTCACAAAAATCGAAGGTTCTAAGGGATAACAAGTAACAAATATCATTAAATACCACTGCGATCACTGATCACAGAGGAGTCGTGGCGCATCCCAGAGGAGGGTTTCTTACTAAAAGAAGCCATGTCACAGTGGGCACAATGCATACAAATCCTTTCAGACAAATTCCGATGCATCAGACCAATTCAAAGAGAAGGAAAGTACAGTGAATTAGGCGGATTGACTTCTCGAGTTCTGATGGGAAATTCTGTCGAAGAGGTTTTTAAATCAAAGCGTTTCAGCACGTCAGCGCATATTATAAAGCACTGATCTTGTGAATTTCAAAAGCTTTTCCCTCTTGCCATTATACCACTTTCAAAGAAACTTATGAACATTTGAATGCTGAAAACTCGCATTTCAGGAAAATGGTCCAAAAAATCATACAGGAAAAAAATGGAGCAAAGGGACCACTTCTAAAAAAATCTCTCAAAAAAGTTCCAGAAATTTTTAGCAAGCTCTAACTTCATGTTTCCTATTCATTCTAATCCCGTTACTTTCACTCAGCCTCGGAGAATTACAAGAAGTTAATTGAAAGAAGTCATGAACGTTTGAGCGACGAAAACTCGCGCGGTCTCGAATCACTAAAAACGGAACAACGGACTATTTTTGGAGAATCGATCTTCAAGAAAAGATTCAGGTACTTGTTCGAAAGCTCTAATCTTCTAGTTTCTAATTAGCCTTAGACATCTGCAAAAAGTTGATTATGAAGAAAGTTATGAATGTTTGAATGTCGAAAACTCGCGTGTGCACAAAAAACGGAACAACGGGACGATTTTTTGAAGAATGAACATTCGCAAAAGTTTAAATTTTTTAGGAGGAAAACAATTTGAATTTCTTCAGATTTTTGTATCGCGTCCATTGTAAGGCTTATCGGAGGAAGGCATACCTTTCAAATGAAGAGGTCCGCAATTAGAATCGGAAGTCCAAGAAAGAAGAGGCAGTTTTCTGAAGGTGGAGCTCTCTGCGATTTTCATACTTAACTTTATATAGAAGAGGCAGCTCCATGCAAAATGCTTGGAGCTGCCTCTTCTATATGCACAGAATTTATGTTGCCAATTCCCGTCCTAGAGCGAGATAAAGCGCGCGACGCAATTTCCAATTGCTCACCACCTCTTTCCATTCGATGACAGTGCACACATCGATGGTGTGCATAAGGTTACGTAGAAATCAATTAGCTCAGGCGGTCGTACTGATACCCCCTGAACTGAGGTGTCGAAATTTTCAAAATTCGCGCAACGGACGATTGAACCTGACGATCGGACTCCTCCGTGGTTGTGTGCTCGTTCTATCTTGGAGCAGGGTCAAGCGAGGCGTCGAGGAAAATTCGGAAATACGACCCCCCCCCCTCCCTCTGCCGAAGCCGAAGTCTTTAAAAGCCGAACTATGAAAAAGTTGTTTAATTCTCCACCAAAACTGCTCATAAAAAAGCCCTGCTACCCCATCGTCCACAAAAAAACTCGTTTAAAAAGTATAAAAGTGAAAAAGTCAAAGAATGATCATTAATGACGAGTCCTGTCAAACGAGCAAACGAGAAACGGAGCAAAAAACGTCAAACTAGTCACTAGAAATGGCGTACTATGACAACACCTCTTCTTTGTTTATTTCCTCCACAAGACTTACCAAATTCTAGTACTACACAGATTATGGTTCTCAATTTACACGTCCCCCTTTCGCTCAAAGGAAGCCTTGTAAAAGCCTTCGCCAGCTGTGTGTTGACTGGACTTTGGCGTTGACCGTGGAGCAGCTTATTTACTATTGAAATTTGAACAAATATTCAAATGATTATAACTTTCTTCAAAGTTAACGAATTTTCAATCTGAAAGCTGATTTGGGAGTTTTGTGAAGAGCTTTTTCTAATCAGTACTGAAATTACAGGAAGTTATAAGAAATAACAAATTTAGATCAAATAACGAGGAAAATTCGAGACGAGCACGAGTTTTTACACTTTCCGGAGCAATAACTTGCTTCATTTCCGTCAAATTCAAAAGTTGATACGTCATACAAAACTAGAAGATTTTCTCTATCAAACGGTCGCTAAAGCAGCTTCATACGTCCAGTATTAAAAAATGGCCACGTTGAGGATTTTTGCCCGAGTACCGCCGAAAGGTACTTTTTCGCTACATTAGCACTATTCCCAACGACTATAGCTCCTTGCAGGGCGATTACATACTGAAGTAGGAGCAGATTCAAAATCCTCGTGCTTTTCTCTCTGCAAAAAGTGTAAAATTGTTTAGCGGGTCTCAACTTTAAAGGTTACATGCTTGTGAATTTGACGCTGAAGGCTGCGTTTCTTGTTGAATAGTGTACTCCTCTCTGTAATTTAACATGAACTCTTTCAGAACCCTCTTGATTCTTCCTGAATTAAGATTCGTTATCAAGATAGCCGTAGCTGAAGCGCGCGCAACCAACTGGGCCCACTCTGGGATGCGCCGTGTGCTTCACATCTCGTTGGATTTGAGGACCTACTTGAAAGATAAAATATCCCTGGAAAACGTGCGAATTTCGGATTCTTTAACTTGTGTGGTGATGAAACACTGAAGTCACTAAGAATTGCTAAGCGGACACCTCTAAATCACGAAGATTTTGTGTGGACGGAATCAATTGTTATTGGAAATACTCTGGCCTGGTCGATCGATTCGATCCTTAATGTTTGTCCTCCGACGATGATCCTACTGTATCAATCGGGCCCGATCTCTCCCCAGCGGGCCAATACGACCCCCCCCCCTCTGTGACATGTCGAGGATTCCTCAACGCACGCTTGACCCTGTCTTGGAGTGCATCTAATGAAGCTGCTGTAACCAACATTGCTCTAAGTCATACCATCACAATTATGCCGATAACTGCTTTTTAGTCTGTAAAACATTGATAAAGGAATCCAAGCCTCAACTATACGATCTTACGCGAATCAGGACTCGCAACTTTACCTCATCGTCCAGTTGCGAATCTGTACTTGAAGAATGGTGAATTCATACTAAACAAACATGTACACAACAAACAAAGGAGAGATGTTGAGAGCAGAAAGTTTCTTTCGGTGACGATAGGAACTGCGTATTATCAATAGTAGTACATATTACATCTACTAGTTTCTCCAACAACATTACGGGCATCTGCCGCATCTCTTTTCACGAAGGGCGAGTGTTCCATGTCGGGAAGGAATTAAGCTTCTATAGCAGGAATTTTTGTCAGCTGCCCTCACTACCAGTTTCCCTCTTTCTGATGGACTGGCCCCAAATCAGGACCTTCAGAGAAGAGTGCTTCTACTTTCCGAATAACTAAGCAGAAAGCATAGTTCCTCGTAGGCAGGTACCAGGAGTGGTACTCGAAAATGTTTGAACTCAGTTCCATGTCTGACTAATCGCGAGCTCATCATTTCTAGTTTCAAGACCGCTGCAGAGCTTGTGTTATAAAAAAGAACTAACCATTGGTTGCTTCAAAAGGGCCATTGTTGCAACAATCGCTTGAATGCTCTTCCCGAGACCCATTTCGTCAGCCAAAATAACACCACCTTGTTCCTGGCAAGTGATTCCTGATCTTTCCAACAAATATCATGAGAATGTGTAAGATTTCTAGAGATATAAACTAACTCGAAGATGAGAGTATATGAAACGGACGCCTTCTTTCTGGTGATCTCTGAGGTGCTTACTTATAAGAGGGTCTGCAACCACTGGTTCTTCTGCATTCTCCTTGACTCGATCTTCATTTATAACAAAGGGAGCGATCTTAATATAATTGGTTCAAGAAAAGCAGGTTTTCTGCTCTTCAACAGAGCAATTTGAAAAGAATTTCGCTCACGCAGTGTCCGGCAATTGCTCATGCTATCTGTAACTGATTTATTGTTAGTTATCCACAATAAGTTGTTTGGAACAACAGCTTTAGACCAGATTGTTGGGGTAACAGTGGTCGATTATGAAAGTGTGGATACCTATTTGACTGAAATAAAAAAGTAGATGGACACTATTGGCAGGCACATGATAAAAAATAGTGGTTCTCACGTCATGCCAAACATGTGCTTCATCAGATAAGTAATGTTTCAAAATTAAGCCCAAAAAATGACGACCAGTTGATCAAAGAGCGTTCTTGTCTCCTGTTCCTTGGAGAATCATATGTTGGAGGCCAGGGAAACGTAGATGATTGCGCGTCAGGCTGGTGAAATTTCTGCATGTTTCCGGCGTAAGACTTTTAGTTGTCCTCTTGTTATTGAGCAGGCCACCACTCCAGAGCTGCCGATGATTGCAGGCTTACAAGGGAAGGATGGTAGGTCGAAGTGGCCGTTCGAAATGAAATGTATACCTCCTGATGCGTCTCCAGACGCTGATTCCAAATCTGCCTTCCAAATCTGCTAAACGACTCTCCGAACGGAGTTATGAAGCGTAATAGCTCAGTGGTGATGGTCCGGGGTGGCAGGTAAAAGCTCGTAGGATCGGTTCCTTTGCAAATTGGTTGCTTTGCTTTTGTCTCTAGAAGTGTTGCGGACAAAAGCAAGCAACAAACTTGCAAAGGAACCGATCCTACGAGCTTTTACCTGCCACCCGGACCATCACCACTGAGCTATTACGCTTCATAACTCCGTTCGGAGAGTCGTTTAGCAGATTTGGAAGGCAGATTTGGAATCAGCGTCTGGAGACGCATCAGGAGGTATACATTTCATTTCGAACGGCCACTTCGACCTACCATCCTTCCCTTGTAAGATAGGCTCAAGGCTCACGCTTATGTTTTTTTTCCTACATATTGTGTACAGCCTTCTGTGCCAGGTGAGAAAAGAGAGAAAATTTCCGACATGTTTGCCTTCAACTACCCACAGTAACACTCGACTCATAACGGTGCGCATGGAGGTGTATGTCTCAGCTCGTCACTCCAACAGGGAAATTTATTTCGGTTAGGCTACCTCTATAGAAATATTGCATCCATGGACTGCAAGAAGCGACACTCACACCTTTCTATCTCGGAGAGGTTCCTCTCCCAGGAGTTGTTATCAAAAGCGAGATTGGTGAAAGAATAAGGATATATCTAAGCGACAGGGCAAGAAAAGGCTTCAAACCTTTAGGAGAATTTCGCATAAAACATTGTAGTGTGGCTTCGACCCCCCGAGTTGCGGCAGAAGAAGGTCTTTGTGTTTTCCATACCCATCCCACCGTCCTTTGTTTCTTCACGACGGCACTCTACCATCGCCGTCTGATCCAGTTCTTGGATCATGCAGTGAACTACGTATAGGGTAGACCAACAGAGGTTAAAGATCTTGCCTGGATCATCCGGCTTCTTCAGTACTTTCAAAGCTGCCCATCCTTGTGCACCGATTCCGCGTTCCTCCTATTGCTCATTTGCACCGCCCTAGCTTCGACCTACATTAATCTTGCTAAATAAATTCCCTGTTGAAGTGACGAGCTGAGACATACACCTCCATGCGCACCGTTATGAGTCGAATGTTACTGTGGGTAGTTGAAGGCAACATGTCGGAAAAATTTTCTCTTTTCTCACCTGCACAGAGCTATACAAATACACTGCGTCCCATAATTATACGTCCACCTAAGAATTTCCCAAAATCTCAGAAATACAGATGTTACGAAAAAAGTCTCCTATGTGACAATGTATCGCATATAAATACGCAATTGCCTATGAACATCAATTTTCTATTTGAGATCACAGGAATTTTTCCCAATAATTTTTGTGTAAAAGGCCACTCAGCCGACGTCCCAAAATTATACGTCCACCTCACGTTTATCGATTACTTTTCACTTCTGTTCCACGAAACTTTTTCATTGTGGTAACACTTCACTTCTTAAGAGAACAGCATAATAAAGACTGCTGTTGGATTTTGAGAAAAGGGAAAATGTCGCAAAAACTGTTGAACAACGGAACCGCACCAGATTTGGTCCAGATTCACGCCAAGCTTGAGAATTTTTTCAGGGGTTTCACATGATATGGAGCTTAGAAGAGCTCTAAAAGTCTCTCATTACTTTTCGATGGAAACAAAGGCCGTGTTACAGAAAAACATCCACTTTCATCCAACGGTGCTCTGTCATCGAATCTTCTTGAGAACTTTAATGCCTCAACAGACTTTTGTTTCATGCATGTAAAGGAATCCCAAGATCATTCTTGATCGGAAAATGTGAAAGACGTTCATTTGTGGCAAGGAATCGTGGCGAAAACTGGGCTGATTTTTGCATGAAGCAGCCCAGCCGACTGAAGTAAGGTTCGCTTCTGCCCGATATGTTTTGGCATTTGTTTGTTTCTTCTCACGTCTACCTTTCCCTTAATGGCTTTTTTCTTAGAGGAGCACTACTAAAAGAAAGAAAATGTTGAAAAGAAAGACAGACAAACACTCATGCATAGCAAGGAAAAAAGGACCCTGCTCCAGTCGGCTCGGCTGCACCTTCATGCAAAAATCAGCCCAGTTTTCGTCACGATTCCTTGCCACAAATGAACGTCTTTCACATTTTCCGATCAAGAACGATCTTGGGATTCCTTTACATGCATGAAACAAAAGTCTGTTGAGGCATAAAGTTCTCAAGAAGATTCGATGACAGAGCACCGTTGGATGAAAATGGATGTTATTTCTGTAACACGGCCTTTGTTTCCATCGAAAAGTAATGAGAGACTTTTAGAGCTCTTCTAAGCTCCATATCATGTGAAACCCCTGAAAAAATTCTCAAGCTTGGCGTGAATCTGGACCAAATCTGGTGCGGTTCCGTTGTTCAATCAGTTTTTGCGACATTTTCCCTTTCTCAAAATCCAACAGCAGTCTTTATTATGCTGTTCTCTTTAAGAAGTGAAGTGTTACCACAATGAAAAAGTTTCGTGGAACAGAAGTGAAAAGTAATCGATAAACGTGAGGTGGACGTATAATTTTGGGACGTCGGCTGAGTGGCCTTTTACACAAAAATTATTGGGAAAAATTCCTGTGATCTCAAATAGAAAATTGATGTTCATAGGCAATTGCGTATTTATATGCGATACATTGTCACATAGGAGACTTTTTTCGAAACATCTGTATTTCTGAGATTTTGGGAAATTCTTAGGTGGACGTATAATTATGGGACGCAGTGTATATATGAGCAAAGACCCGCCTGCTGAAGGTTGGTAAATAGCGTCTGTCAAACTGCTCTACAAGTAGTGTCGCTTTTTCGTGTGGAAATTTTTTCTATGAGATCCCATGATTTCACATAAACCTTTATATAGGGTTCGGAAGAGTCACCGTGCAAAACATTTTGTACCGCTTCCATACACATTGTGAACTTACTGACTTACAGTCTCCCAAACTAGGAGTACTAACAGATGAAATGTAGCCCACCCGATGTTCCTCCTGCGCCAGAGGTACCCTTGTGGCTTATTCTGTACCTCTCATTATCAGGTTGATCCATAAGTCGACACGTTGCAACGAACTAAAGTCTGATTTTGATACTATCATTATCTTTTCGTCCCATTCATCCAGCGCGATACACATCATCAATATCTACAACCTATTGCCAAGCGCACTAGAAGCTGTTCGATGCCTCTCTTATAGAACTCCGTTGAATGCTGATCGAAGAAAGATTGGATGTCGATTTTCACATCACAGTTAGAGTAATATTTTTTCTGTGGAGGTAGTTTGGAGAGAGAATCAGATGGGCATCCGTTAGCGCGACATGAGGGCTATAAGCGAGTATGAATGAACTCTCCGTCCAAGGAACTTAAAATTTTCCTGAAGTTTTCTTAACAACGGATGGTTCATTAGTGTCCCAAAAATATAGATCTTGTCTTGAATTTATTTTGTATTAAAAGCGTTGCAAACCAGCTAAGGATGGTTGACTTCCTGCAATTCCAGCTGTGGATGGTTGACTTCCGCGTTGACTGCGACATCTACACGGGGGTTTCCAGAGCTCAACTCCTCTCGTATTCCACCAAAAATCCGAGAAGGCCCTACTTGGACGAGGTTGAACTTAGCAGTAAGAACTCCCGAAGCGTTTGAGCTGGACTATCGCCGCTTGTTTATTTAGCACACTGTACCCACTCCTCATCTTCGGCAAATGTGATGGATGGTCAATCGAAGAATCCATAGTAAGTCGACTTGAACATGACGATGTCAGATCGTGTTTGGAGCTGAATCGGGCTCAAGGCACGTGGGATCCAAACTCTATATTTTCGGATCTTTACAAGTCTTTGGAGATGCCACAGTGCTGTCTCCTTGTCGCATCGGAATTGCTCTAGCAAATGATCGATAGTCTATCCAGATCCCTTTTCAACAGCGTCAGTAGAGCATCGTGATTGCCAGTCACGGGGTGGTTGGAGTGTGGATCATTTTCAAATAAAAAAGTCAACGCTGAGGAAGAATCCTCAGTATACCTGACTTAAAGGCACGCTCCGGGATTAGGCGCGCTCGCCTGTTCCATCCCGGGGTAGTAGGCAGGCGGACAAGCGTTGATGTCGCGCCCCTTTTGCGCTTGAAAGTGCGCGACAAAGGCGCAAGGAGCTCGTCCGACCCGCAACTCACACCTTCGTCCGCAAGCCCCACCCTCCGCTGTCGGTTGCCACGTGGCGCTGCTTGAAAAGCGCGGGCGCATTTGAGGCAGCGGTCCCATTGCGACCCAATGTCATTGGCACTGGAGCAACTAGAGTTAAACTCGTCCAACGCGCCCCTTCTCTATCCCAAGGTGGAATGCGGCTGAAATAGGGGAGGTCTCTGTGCGGGGCGTAATCGGTGGTTTCGTTTGCTTTCCTTCTTTTCCAGACCACCTCCCACCTC